CAATTGTTGATATAAATCCGATAATATAAGCTTAAATTCTCGCAATCAGAGAGACTGATCTAGGGAATCGCAAAGGGCGCTTCTGGTTAAATATTTTTTGACAAAAATAAATTTTTTACCCATTTTCAGGGTAAGAATTTTTTCAGATTTCAAAATTTTAGAAAATTTAATTCTTGATCAGCCAGCGATTTGTTGACTTGGCAGAATAAAGCTAAGCTACTGTAGAAAGTATTTCTAAAGTTAAAATACACATTCAACACGTTTCAAGTACAAAGATGGGCAAATATATGAAATTCAACTTAATTGGTGCTTTACTTATATTCAGACGAATATAACATTCGGAACGCAATTGTTGATATAAAACCGATAATATAAGCTTGAATTATCGCAATCAGAGAGACTGATCTAGGGAATCGCAAAGGGCGCTTCTGGTTAAATATTTTTTGAAAAAAATAAATATTTTACCAATTTTCAGGGTAAGAATATTTTCAGATTTCAAAATTTTAGAAAAATTATTTCTTGATCAGCCAGCAATTTGTAGACGTGGCAGAATAAAGCTAAGCTACTGTAGAAAGTATGTCTAAAGTTAAAATTCACATTCAACACGTTTCAAGTACAAAGATGGGCAAATATATGTAATTCAACTTAATTAGTGCCTCACTTATATTCAGACGAATGTAACATTCGGAACGCAATTGTTGATATAAAACCGATAATATAATCTTGAATTATCGCAAACAGTGAGACTAATCTAGGGAATCGCAAAGGGCGTTTCTGGTTAAATATTTTTTGAAAAAAATAAATTTTTTACCAATTTTCAGGGTAAGAATATTTTCAGATTTCAAAATTTTAGAAAATTTATTTCTTGATCAGCCAGCGATTTGTAGACTTGGCAGAATAAAGCTAAGCTACTGTAGAAAGTATTTCTTAAGTTAAAATTCACATTCAACACGTTTCAAGTACAAAGAGGGGCAAATATATAAAATTCAACTTAATTGGTGCGTCACTTATATTTTCAAACGAATATAACATTCGGAACGCAATTGTTGATATAAAACCGATAATATAAGCTTGAATTATCGCAATCAGTGAGACTGATCTAGAGAATCGCAAAAGGCGCTTCTGGTTAAATATTTTTTGAAAAAAATAAATTTTTTACCAATTTTCAGGGTAAGAATATTTTCAGATTTCAAAATTTTAGAAAAATTATTTCTTGATCAGCCAGCAATTTGTAGACGTGGCAGAATAAAGCTAAGCTACTGTAGAAAGTATTTCTAAAGTTAAAATACACATTCAACACGTTTCAAGTACAAAAATGGGCAAATATATGAAATTCAACTTAATTGGTGCCTCACTTATATTCAGACGAATATAACATTCGGAACGCAATTGTTGATATAAATCCGATAATATAAGCTTAAATTCTCGCAATCAGTGAGACTGATCTAGGGAATCGCAAAGGGCGATTCTGGTTTAATATTTTTTGAAAAAAATAAATTTTTTACCAATTTTCAGGGTAAGAATATTTTCAGATTTCAAAATTTTAGAAAAATTATTTCTTGATCAGCCAGCAATTTGTAGACTTGGCAGAATAAAGCTAAGCTACTGAAGAAAGTATTTCTAAAGTAAAAATTCACATTCAACACGTTGCAAGTACAACGATGGGCAAATATATATGAAATTCAACTTAATTGGTGCTTCACTTATATTCAGATGAATATAACATTCGGAACGCAATTGTTGATATAAAACCGATAATATAAGCTTGAATTATCGCAATCAGAGAGACTGATCTAGGGAATCGCAAAGGGCGCTTCTGGTTAAATATTTTTTGACAAAAATAAATTTTTTACCCATTTTCAGGGTAAGAATTTTTTCAGATTTCAAAATTTTAGAAAATTTAATTCTTGATCAGCCAGCGATTTGTAGACTTGGCAGAATAAAGCTAAGCTACTGTAGAAAGTATGTCTAAAGTTAAAATTCACATTCAACACGTTTCAAGTACAAAGATGGGCAAATATATGTAATTCAACTTAATTAGTGCCTCACTTATATTCAGACGAATGTAACATTCGGAACGCAATTGTTGATATAAAACCGATAATATAATCTTGAATTATCGCAAACAGTGAGACTAATCTAGGGAATCGCAAAAGGCGCTTCTGGTTAAATATTTTTTGAAAAAAATAAATTTTTTACCAATTTTCAGGGTAAGAATATTTTCAGATTTCAAAATTTTAGAAAATTGATTTCTTGATCAGCCAGCGATTTGTAGACTTGGCAGAATAAAGCTAAGCTACTGTAGAAAGTATTTCTAAAGTTATAATACACATTCAACACGTTTCAAGTACAAAGATGGGCAAATATATGAAATTCAACTTATTTGGTGCCTCACTTATATTCAGACGAATATAACATTCCGAACGCAATTGTTGATATAAAACCGATTATATAAGCTTGAATTATCGCAATCAGTGAGACTGATCTAGGGAATCGCAAAGGGCGCTTCTGGTTCATATTTATTGAAATAAAAATAAATTTTTTACCAATTTTCAGGGTAAGTTTATAAGTTTTTGGTGGTGAATTTTGACAGACAATGTCTTCGCGTGGGGACCTCTTTTTACTAATTTACCAGTGAAAAATGTGTGAATTCGACGAGAAAGTGAAGGGAAACCAGTGATTCGCTTCTTCGGGACTGCAGGAAGAGCGGCCAGCAGTTCAAGGTAGGCATTTTCTCATCTCTGAACGTCCGAGCACTTGCCCATCGCCCATGGGCCAACTGTCCGGTTCCGTGTTCTGTAGCCAAGAGGCCGAGAGCCAATATGCACCACACAAAAATATTTCTGATGAAAAAAAAATAGTTGTTTTTAGGCTGCATTATTGTTGCTTTGGAAAACTAATTACGATTATTCTATATTCCAATCTCTCTGCGCTATATAAGGAATTGAAATGATTAAATTGTTATTAAAATTATTTTACATTAAGAAAATGTGAAAAAACCTGCTATTAGTAATTAAATGAAAGATAGCTATATATTTCACTTATGAGACACATAAAAATTTAAATTTATTATTTATTTCAAGTTATGCAACTTGCATTGCATCAAATTCTTATTACTCTTGTTGCTGACTGGTCCATTTTCAGGAGCATGTTGAGTAAGCTGCTTCTTCGTGATATCCATTAATTTACTCAAAATAACGAAGGGAAAGAGACGTCATCTTTTTATCACGTCGCAGATTCATTTGCAATATTTTTGCTTCGTTTTATATTCTGGCGTTAGAATTTTTTTTGTTTAATTTATTTGATTGGATTTTTTTTTACCTTTGACGTTAGTAAATTAACGTTAAATAAACTAAATTATAGGCAAATTTTCTGAACGACTTATCTGGACTTATTTCGCAACTGTCAAGTTGTAAAGGTTTACAATTGTATTATAATTCATCATTTTCCCTATATGGGTATAGATGGGTAAAATCACAGATTGTTATCACATTAAATTTTAATTAAAATCGAAGCAGCAGGTAGATTACTATCTATTTTATTAAAAATTTCAAACCTCATCATGCATCACATAGGGATTTTTTTAATATGATAGTTATCTTCCTAATAATTTTTAGGTCAACATAAATTATATTCCAATAAATATTTTTTTTTAAAAGCTTCATTTATAAAATTATTTTATTAAATGCAATTAGGAGCTGCACAGCTTTCTAATTAGGGGTTTGAGAGTAAAAAAGGTTTATCATATAATATTTGATTAATTTCAAACAGAGGAAGTTGCCTTACAGCCGGAAATATTCCAACGGCATTCACTAGCATGCAAAATATTTATCAAAATGTTTTGCCACATGCAATCCCATGTTGCTGCTTACCGTGCTGTGCATCTTTTCTCAGATTTTGGTACAATACAAAATTTAAATAATTTCATTTTTACCAATAAAATATGTCAGAGTGTGTACTCAAAAGCTGCAAAACTGGCCATTTGCCGTGCAAATTGCACTCTTCATGACTTCACTCGCGAGGTTTGATAAATTAGTTTTATAAAAGAAAATTGATATTCTCACAGTTTTTCCAGAAATACTTGGAATCAGCCTTCCCAGAGGGTTTGTCCAGTTGTTAGAATAATTAAAGATTTATATTGAACATTTTCTTTCATCGTCAGATTTTATCTCCGAATCAGATAGTAAGATTTAATTAAAAATCGATTTACAAAAGTTCAAGAACAAATATTTATTTAGGCTTAAGCACAATATTTTCCAAAGATAAGAACAAATATACAGGACGAAAAGATATTCATGGTGGGCGAGTCTACTTTTTAGGCCTTTCTAAGGTGCGTCCTACTTTGGAAAAAATTGACAAAATTCTGTTAATTATCTTTTTAAAGGTAGCATTTAAGGAGGCCGTGGCTGCTTGTGCTCAAAGACGAATGCAACTTATATCAATTGATGACGAGAAAAACTGGCAATGCCTTGTTAACAAAAACTTTGCGAATAATAAACTCTACAACTGGCTGAGTAAAGCGTCTTTAAAAGGCTCACAATGAAATCTGTAATACTTTCCTGAAATATAAGGCGCCGATAATTTTGCCTACATCTGGACCAGTGGAATGGCCGAAGGTAAATCGTCAAGGTGCAGATCAGTCGCTTATTCCTGGTGTGCGAAGAGTGGAAGTAAAATTGACCCTGCAATCTTTGGGCTGTCAAATGAAGCGTCAGATGAAAAATGTTTGGCGATTGAGACAATCACCGGCGGACTTGCTAGAGTTAGTTGCGAGATGAAATTGCCATTTTATTGCGAAGTATTTTTTTGAATTTATGAATAATTTATTTTTATTAAAATTTTGAAAATACTTCCACACGCAGAATCAGTGCAGCTCGGTCTTGTGTCCAAGCAAAGGCAGATGTAAAAAAGACGTATTATTGAGCATCTTAACCAACAAACTAAAATAAAAAGATATTTATTAAACAGGAAAATCTGTTTGATGGAAAACACTTATTAAAAAGTTTTATTTTTAAATAAAGATGGATACAGTTTTGGTGTGTGGACTCAAATAAATATCAACCGAACAATAAACATTACCTACTGTTTGGAAAAACAAAGGTTCGTCAAAAACGTTTTGATTGCGAAATTTAAAATAAAAATCTGCAGATGTCGTGGGCGGAGAACGTAATCCAGTGCTGTAAACTGGGAATGAGTCCGATATACCCAGAGAGATCAAGAATAGATCAGATCATCAGAGCAAATATATTTTACAGTTCTTCTTTGAGTATTTTTTTATTTTTTTTTATTAAGAGTGAGAATATTTTATTTGTATGTAGCTCGTATTGAATCATTTTATGATCTGGCTCCATTTTTCTGGACGGCTGGGACGAGGCTCGGATGTGCAGGTCACTTCCGATTTTGCATGCACGACTTGGGTCCGTGGGACGCGGACGAGGAAATTTGGAATAAAATCAACACAGCGTACTCTGGCGCGTGTCTGTCAATGGGGCAGTACGGCATGACGACATACTTTGTCATTCAAATAATGCCATGCACGACGTCCCTTGTCAATTTTGCCTGTGAACGCGAAAACACCAACGTCATCGATGTCATCGGGCGATTACGAAATTCCGATGTAAATTTATATTATTTGTTGAAATTACACTTATTGTTAATTATAATATTTGTTTTTTTTTTTATATAAATAATGAGTACATTTTTTTTTACATTTCAAAATCATGTTCCATTCATGTGGAATTCATTTGAAGGATTTGCTGACTTAATTCAATAATCACTACAAATAACCATTAAATTTTTACAATATCTGAAATTAAAACTAAAGAAAGAAAATTGAACAAAAATTGACCGAAATACCTGATATTAATACCATCTTTCCTGTTTACTGGTTGGTTATACTTTGATTCGAGAAATAACTGCTGTTTTTTTTACTATTTAAAATATTTGATTTTTTTAGATCACTCATGATGATGCTGGAAACTTTTGTAACAATCCAATATGTGAACCAATAACCTGCATCATAGACGTATGAAGCACAATAGCAAATTATTTAGCAGCTAATTTCTTACATCAATAATTGTTTTGCTAGTTGAAGAGAATGGATTTTGTCGACATACATTGGAGACTGTTCAGTAAGAATATAGGAAAAAAATTTTAATCAAAATAATGTATCAACGTACATCCTACGCTAAACAGAACCACAACTACTAGGATATTGGCAAAGATCATGCAATGTTTACTACTTAATTTCTAAGCGAAAAGTTGTCATTATTAATTTAAATTACAAATTATTTCATAAAATTTCTTTGCCAGAAGGCCACGTGGAAAGGAGCCATTGATTATTGCTGCTCGCTCGGAATGAGACTGTTGACCGTTTACTCATATGAAAAACAACTTTGTTTGGCGAGGATTTTTAAAAACAAATGTAAGAGAAAATTTTAAATTAAAATAGAAGGATAATAACATTGTTACCAGATAACTCACCCTTCAACGAGAGCTTCTGGACATCAGGCACTGACCAGTATTGCACAGGGAAATTTAGGTGTTTGCAGTATTTGACCCAGCAAAAGCTAAATACTTAATTAAATATTATGTAATATTATTGCTGAATTAATTTAAGTTAAATATTTTAATCAAATTTTTCGGGATCAATATTGCTCCAATATTTTTGATATAACTTTCCTTTTCCCGCAAGTTGGCCAGGGATATAAATTTAGGCTTTTGCATCACCCTAAATGTGTCCGAGAAATTAAAAATTGTATTTCCAATTCTGACGAATACTAGAAATATTCCCATTTTTAGATGGTGCTCAAATGAGATACAAGATTATGTCAAATCAAACTTACTATGGCGAAAAGGGCAACCAAAGTTTAATAACTCATGCATTTATATTGTCAACGATTATATGGAAGGTATGCTTTTTTGAACATTACAAAATATATACTTCCATTTTTAACATACCATTAGGCGTATTACTAGGGGCAGAAGTTTGCAAAAAAGAAATGCACTTTATTTGCGAGGTTTGCCAATTATAAATAATTCTTGCAATGATATATAACTTTTAAATTTAATTTTAAGGCACGCGTCCAAAGTCAGAGCCATTATCAATCGGTTGCAAATGAGTGTCAAGCGGTTAATCAAGTTAGCAAACGTAAGGAAAAAATTTTTAAAATTCCATTTGACGATAACTAAATTTGTAGGTGAAATGTCCTTGTTGAATTTCAAGTTTGCAAAAACATTTTCATTTCGAATGAAGGCGAGTTTCTTTTTAAGCATAAGAGCATAAATAATCAATTAATTTTAACTAAAAATAGTGTTACTTGGGTTGCATTGCTGAGCTGTTGTCATTAGTACCAAATTAAGTGACGAGAAGTAAAGCAAATCAATAAAGATTATTATTTTTCATTGCAGTTGTTCGAGAATAACAAATTTAGGATTGATACTGTTATTAATTATATTATGATGTCATCAATTGCTTTTTCCTCACAAAAATATTGTATGTTCTAATTATTGAAACATATTATTAAAATGCAACTTTATTTGTTCATTTTAGTGGAATCTTTCAACACCAACCTTACTTACAAGGATCTAAATGATGACCAGATAGTCCAAGCAGTTAACTGGATCAACTTCTATTCTGATTCTTTTGAAAAATTTGAGTCTCTTGCACAAAGAGAAGCTCTTGAAAAATTTTCAAAATGTGGATTGGAAGGTTAGATGCAAAAGAATTATTAAATTTATTATCATTTTTTTAATTGAAATTATTCCCATTATAGTACCAAAGGAAAACGATGTGTGCGTGTACACGTACAAATTCTACTTGTGCCTCTTCAATAATTCGCAATACTTGCCCGACATTTGGAATTACGGAGACTTAAATATTCAAGGTCGCGATATGATCCAACAGATTGACTATCGCAGAGGAGACATCTTAAAGGCGAAACCAAATGACTTTTTTCCAATTCAAAATGATGAATTTCTGACGGTGAAGTGTTTTGCCAAAGATTTAGATTATGTGGATGAAAGAGGCACAAGAGATTTCTGCTCAGTCTTGTGTAGGCTAAAAATATTCAGATTATTTATTTAAAACAAAAATCCCACTCTTCAGTGTATAACAACATGCTGGTGTCAAACGAAACTTTACTGACCTTTTTACTACCGACTGGCGTAATTAATCCACACGCGTTTTTTCAGAAAATTTGTTACGTTCTGTTTTCAGGAACCATTTGATAATGGATTTTCTTATTGCCATTTGATCCGAGGAACACCATTAATAGCCTCGTCAGCCGAGGAATTCAACAAAACGTTTTTCTTTCTTAACGGTAGTAAAAATTGATTTTAAAAATAAAACTCCAATGTATTTGCGCAGGAACAGAGAACAATCTGATGTGGAACGAAGCTTATATCGGTGACAAGGGAGATCTGTGGTGGTGCGGCTACGATTCGCTGAAGGTGCCTGTTCCACTTGATTCTGGCGCCGACCTAATTGCAGACTTCCCTTTTTACTTGGTGTCTCTGGCGAGTTCTAGACCGAATTTGCACGCAGTCCATTTGGACTTTAATATTTCTTTTCCTCAACTGTTTTGCCAGATTCCCAAGCGTGTCGCAAACAAATGTTTTAAATATCCTCAATTTTTCACAAATTATTCTTACTATGAGCTGCCACTGCCAGACGATATTGAATTGTAAATAAGTTGTGAAATTTAAAAAGTATTAATAAAAATCAATAAAAATGTAACGACTTTGAATAAAAATTATTATGCAGTGCTACGTTAATAAATATAATAGACAAAAGTTTAAGGAAATAAAATATATTACTGGTTTATAATAGTTCTATAAAATTTAATAAAGAACCCAATAATTTGTTTTTTTTTCTATGTTATTACTTGGACAAGTAATTAACAATACAATATTAATAAACGATTGATCAAGATAATTAATTCATTCCATAAAAATTCATTTTTCTTGTTTTCATTTAAATTGTGTGGAATTAATTTAATTGAGCCATTGTTGATTAGAACTTGAATTTTATTTTATTTTTACTGTTTAAGTTCATACTTTGCTTTATGTTAAAAACTGTCATCAGCGAAGCGTTCTTCTAGCGTTTAGTCTTTAGTCAGAAAAATCAATTGAAATAATATTAAAAATTTAGGTCCTTTCAGTGAAAATCGTAGGTTACGCCCACTAAATTTGCCAATATTTGAAAAAATGACCACAAAATAATTCCAACCCATTTTTTGCTTTTATTTAGCCATTATAAGAGCTTCTATGAAAAAATTTTCCGACTTTTCCGAAAAATGGCTGAGTTATTAAGGGGTTTGCTTTTCCGCTTGTATCTCATTAAGTATAAGTCCTACAACAAAAAACAGCATATATTCTGAAAGCTGATTAAATTTCCTATGTTTTTTGCATTGACAATTTTTTTCTATGAAAGGGTTAAGTACCCTGAAATCAGGGTCAAAAAATTTAGATGCCTGCCCCTGAAGGTATGCAACCGGAAAATTAAATCTGAGATAGCCAAAATTTGACGTCACTCATAGGCACAAACTTCCCCATAGGAAATTATTTTTGCATTTTCCATTTTTGAGAAAATCAAAAATTTCCCAACAGGGGTCAAATAGGGTTGGAAAATGTGGGAAAGCCAGGAAAGGTTGGTCATGTGGCACATTGATCGATTTGTCATCATGTCCTTAAGAAGTGTTTAAAATTTCAAAACTTTTTTTCATACCAATCAAAAGTTACAGCTGATTTACTAAAATAGCCCTATCTCCGAAGCAGGAAAATTTACAAATAATGTTTTTTAAAGCTTGCCACACAAAAAGTAGCCGCGTTCCATAGTGTTTTTATGTTGGAAATAGAGAACCATAGTGGCTAACTTCACTTTCGCACGAAAAATTTTCAATTATTTCATGCCGTAAAAAAGTTAAACCGGTTATTTTGGCAAAATAACCTAAACGCTAATTATAATTTCTTAAAATTTTTAACTTTTTCCAATGCAAAAAATATAAGCAGCATAAATGTTGGTTCCAGGTTAAATTTGGGATCGAAAAATACCTTATTCGTACTACTTTCATTCCTCAGTGGAAAAATATGAGCATTTTTCGTTTTTACTTTGATTGCCGGTAATCGGTTATATGCAAAGGATACCGGCCATAAAAAACCGGTTTTTGTTCGGCGCATATGTGAAGTTTCAAAAAGTAAATTTTTTTTTGTAAAATTTCATCAGCATATTATCACGGAAAGGACCTTAATCATATAAGCAATCTCAGCCTCTACATACAAAAAATTTATTAAAATCATCACTGATTAGTATATATTAATTACTTTAAAATACTATTAAAATTCTTAAATAATTCGCAAACAATAAATTAAATTTCTATGATGACAAAATTTGTTTAATAATTTTATCTTTTATGTATTTTATTTTAATAATTTTTTATTAAAACCTGGTTAAACTTGAGAAATGTTTTTATTTTCTTTTTAAGAATAACAAACACAATTAGTTCCTTTTGGACTACATAGCTAATATGAATTTTAAACTACGATATATATGATCAATTCTTTCATCTAAAAATCTTGCTTCACATGTTACTAAAATTAAAATTCATGAGCAGTGATTTATTTATAAATAAAAGATTTCATTTGAACTTTTTCCATAGAAATGCTGGCCTTATTCAATTATGTTAACAAAATTTTAACGAATATTGGCTTCAATTAAAACTAAAGAAAAAGCCAATTTGAACAAAAATTGACTTTAATATCAATAAATAATAGTATCTTTCCTGTTTAATAGGTGGTTGGTTTTACATTCATTCAAGAAATACCTGTCGAGTAACATATATTTAAAAAAAAAAAAAAAAAACATGTCCTCATTTAGAGCGACGTTTCCTTCAGTCCACAGCTGACCTCCTTGGTTAAGTCGAGAGTTTGTCATCGACTGGTCTGTGTAAGCCAATCGGTTTTGGCGGTTGTCTAAATAAATTGGAAAAGCAAATTGTAGCGATTTCTTTAATTTGTATGCTTTGTGATTAACAAACCTTGGCTGCGAGGCTGCTCCTGGGCTTTCTCTCCAGCAAACCCAATCCGCCCACCTGATGAAAAACAGAATCTCTCACAGATTGGTCAATGGAGGGAAATCGACTAGAAGACCAAGAAGGCATATGTCCTCATTAAGAGCGACGTTTCCTTCAGTCCACAGCTGACCTCCTTGGTTAAGTCGAGTGTTTGCGACTGGTTCTGTGTAAGCCAATCGGTTTTGGCGGTTGTCTAAATATATTGGAAAAGCGAATTGTAGCGATTTCTTTAATTTTTATGCTTTGTGATTTGTGATTAACAAACCTTGGTTGCGAGGCTGCTCCTGGGCTTTCTCTCCAGCAAACCCTATCCGACCACCTTGATGAAAAACTGAATCCTTCACGGACTGGTCAATCGAGGCAAATTGACGAGGAAGACAGCTGCATTTCTTCATCTGGATAGATTTTTTTATGCTCTTGTTTTGATGGTGTATCTGTCGAACGGTAGATGAAATCTTTTTAATTCACAATCTAGGGTTTGTTCATGGTGTTTGATT